TGGAGAGTCATTCGGCTTCCATGGCAAAACTGTCCTTGACGAAAGGGACAGTAATTATTAATATTTGGCAATTCATATTGATTTATTACATTCAATTCAATACAATCAAAACGAATATTCATGTACCGTTTTTAATTTGAATAATAATAATATTATCACGTACATGTACTACGTTTAAGTTTAGCGGCTTGGGCTCCGACACAGCCGCAGGTAAGTAATATTTTGCAATTAAAGAGTGGCTAACTTCCCGGTGCCAAGGTTATGCTCTACATTGGTGCGTCGAGAGAGGAATCCTGTAACATGAGCTTCTGAAAAGTGGTCAGACGATCGATGGAGGTCTCTTATACACAACAGCTGATGTGATTGAAGCGAGTGATTGCAGGAAAAAGTCCAGGCATGAGTCATTCATCTTCTGCCATGGTAATTCTCGTCAAAACTGTGGTCAGAACTTATCGCGATGATACCGGACGGGATGTGCTAACCCACCCAGCTTATAGCCCAAACCTTGGACCATCAAACGACCAATTGTTCCGCTCGATGAAGAACGCCCCAACGGGAATACGGTTCACTTAAATTGAATGTATCAAACATTGGCTTGATCTCCAAAGACGAGCAGTTTTATTGGCGCGGTATCAATACATTGGCCGAGAAATGGGAAAAGTCATAGCTAACGATGGGCAATACTTCCAATAAAATACATTGTACCAATCGATAAAAATCCCTTAAATCGTATGTAACCAATATAAATATACATAAGTATATGGTTTTCTAAAAAAATTATTTTTATCATAAAATGAATACCACTTCGAGTCTCGAAATTTATTGTTCATCGTTTATCACATACGGCTGTATATTAAAGTTTTACACTATGTACAAAAGTTTTTATATGTATGTATACGAGTTTCATTCTATAATTTTAATATCAATTTATATGTTATCCATTAAATACGCCATCATAATAAACTTTAATAAGACGATACCTCCGTCCGTTGTCCGTCCCTAATTCGCA